CAGCAGTTTAAAAAAAAAAAAAAAAAAAAAAATCAATAAAAAAAAAAATCACCTGACCCTTTTTGTGGTGCGCTTGCAAGGCGTGTTACAGTTCTTAAACTAACCTAACTCATCCCCCACCACAAACGCATTCTTACCTCAATCCAACAGCCATGGTTCTGCTTTTGGTTTACATCCAGCCCAGCAAGCCATCACTGTCCTGGCCATGCATTAGTGCCATGTAAACTTCTATAGGGCTGTATCTCAAAAGACTATAAAAAATGGTCCCATGAAGTCTATGGGGATGTAATGTGCAAGTGTGGCCAAGAAAGTACCGACTTGCAGTGTAGTCAGCAAACAACCAAACCGCAGCCATACGATTACGGCAAGTATTGCTTCTGTAGAGGCGTCGCAGGATAAGTGAACTTTGTTTTAAAGCGCATTCATCCTTTACACAACGCATCAGTGTGAATGGTCCCCAAGGTGCCTATTCACAGAAAAGTCCCAAAGCAAGCTGAGCGTAAAGTACATCACTTTTATTAGATCCTGTGTCGATGGACTTTTGCTCGCTTCAAGTGGGTTTTGCATTCCCACACAAGTCTATTGAAATGCAAAGCCTGTTTGTGACAGGTCAACTGCCCCGTTACTGAATTCTGTATGATCTAAAAACATCCATTAGTGCCGCTAACAAAAGCTCTAAATGTGCATATCTATATATTTTTTAAAGCAGCAGAATATTCACAGTAAGGTGATACCACTGCTTGATAAATGGGGCCTAAGAGTGGAAGTCTAGAGGATTCAGTTTAAATAAAGTCTCTTACTGCACTTCCAGTGAACCTGCACGGGGTCAACAAAGGAATGACGTCTTTTTCATACTGTGTGGAGAGGCCGCTGAAGTGTCGCTGTGCGAGCTCACACAACTCCTTGTGGTCGATTCCTGATGAGAAAAATCATAAAAGCGGCTTAGCCACAATCATTGGGTGATGGAAATGTTTGAGGTTTATTTTTTTGGGGGAAAAAAAAAACAAAACAACAAGTTGCCTCCAGCTCTGTTGGATGTCCCAGGGACTCCTGCTGAACACTGTAGTTACATTCACCAACTGCAGCCAGCGAGACCACTGCGCCTGGTGGAAATCCAGGTATCCAACACAGCAAGAAGTGTTAGATACTAGAGGTGCACCAAAATAGAAATATAATTCCTCCAATTTATTAATTCATTTTTTAATTTACTTACCCCTGATATTTCCCTTTTAAAATGGAAAAAGAGATTGAGGACACGGAGTCCTCGATCCCTTTTTCTGTATCCACTGTTATCAATGAACAGGAATCCTCTATACTGAGTATTCCTGTTCATTCATAACATGAGGACATTGTGTGTTTACTATAACTACAACTATGTATAAACAGGAGGTGATGTAGAGCACTCCCATTCACTCATAATTGAGGATATAGTAATCATACCATGTCCTCCATTATCTACAAACACTCAACGATCACTGATCTGAGTGTTTGCTCTCCTCTGACATGCTATCACAGGAGGCTGAGCGAGCGGTGCAGGGAGAAGAGCCCAGCCTCCTGTGACAGCGCGGGCTGTCTCCGCCCCCACACCGATCTGCCGGACTGTTATAGGCGAATGAGCGGTGTGGGAGAGACACCGGCCGCTCACAGCGCTCGGCCGGCTGTTACTTTCTCTCCTCCCCACTGGGACACAGAGCAGCGCCCAGTGGGGAGGAAAGAAACATGGGATGCGCCGATGTATCGGCAGGAAAATGGCGCTTTCGGCATTTAGCCAAAAGTGCCATTTTCGGTGGCCGATATAAGCAATTTCACCTCAAACATTATCAGTTAAAACCTCCTCTCCATCTATAGCCTCTCCTTGATGGTAGAGTAGTGACAACTGTCACAGGAAGGGTAGAGGCATCTTTGACACACAGGCAGTTATTAACAGCCTTGCTTCTATGCTGTTTGAGAGACATGATGGTTGCATCAAACAAGCACACGACTGGGTCTCTGGGGCAGAGATTTAGTCCATTGCCGAGTTGGTAGGTTTCTGTAAACATTCCCAAAGCAAAGGGTTGTTTTAAAGCTGAACACAAGGCAATCAGCTAAATACAGATCTAAAAAAACCATATGGGAGTTGGATTACCTGCCTATTCAGTTCCGAGATTAAAACCGCTCTTACACAGTACACAGCCCTGTCTGGCAGGGGACAATGTTTCTCTGCCGCAGTTAATTCTCACAGGTCTTGACCTTCCCCAGCCTGTGGCAGGGCAGTGAAAATAGAAGCAGCAAACCGATGAGCTGATCCCTGTCACTCTGCTCCCTCCTATATGCATGGCCTCATTGTTAGCACATGAGGAATGCAGTACACCTAACTGGCTCTTTGTTCTCCCTCTCCCAATCTGAGCCCTGCTCTACAAGAGGCCAATTTAAAAAGACAGGTACCTAAACTGCTTGCATTTAAAAAAAAACTAAAAACAGATATTGATGAATACAGAGCTGTGATAATTTGTGTCTTCTATAGTTGCCTAGAGTTCAGCTTTAAAAAAAACTACAATATGCAGGTTTCAATGTTAATGAAAGAATTTACCTCCAGCTGCTGCCAGCACCATGCGTGGTGCCTTGTAATTGCCGTTGATGTATTCAAGAAGATCAGCCCGCATAAGCCTCCTAAAAAAGCAAATCAAGTTTTCATATCAAAATACGATTTGGCGTAACCAGAAGTGCTGTAAGCATGAAACGATGAAAGCAAAAAAACAAAGTCAAATCTTTATAAGAAGCAGAGGAATGAATGCACAAACATTACACAGTTCAGTTCACATAACGCAACGCTGACACATTTGGTTAGAGACACGCAGCGCATTGCACAACCACCAGGGGGCAGACGAATCAATATGGAAAGACAGCAGAAACCTCAGCCACTTACTTTGCATTTTCTGAAGGTCCCAGAACACTTTTGCTGAGAGGGGTGCCCTGATAGGCTGTTGCATGCAGGTAATCAAAAGTCACATCTTGCAAGTTGTTATCAATTTCCTGCATCTCTTGCAGCATGACCTGCCTAGCGTTCTCCATCTGAGAGTCCTCCAGACTGTTATTTTGAACCACATCAGCCAGGATCTCCACCACTGAAAGCAAAACAGCATTACATACATCTGGCTCTACATCTCTGAGCTGCTGAGCTTTGTATCAATATTAAAGGGTATGAAAAAGCAAAAACGTTTCTATGGTTAAAAAAAAAAAAAACAAGGCAGCATCCAATATGGAGGGGACTGGCAGGATCAACCAGATGTTTAGTCAGGTATTTTACCATTTTCAGGGTTTCTTTAAAGAAGACATTTTTTTTTTTTATTAGGCTTTAATTTCATTTTAATTCAGAGCATAGTCTCTACATTCCTGCCCACCGCCAGAAAGGTGATGCATAGAGTTCCTGATTAAGCAATTAAGCTTCCTCAGACACAAAATCAGCACCAACACCTCTGACCCAGGAAGAGATGATGCCAAATCAGTAATGTTCTCATTGTCACAGGTCGGCTAGAACTATGAGGTGAGTGGAAATCACTCATCTCATAGTTCTCCTTTAAACATGGAGCAGCATGGGTGATCTCAATAAGCAGTGATTAAGTGAACACGCGCTGTACATACGGCCTGACGTTCCTAAAGGTGCCCATACACCTTACGATTATCGGACGAAACTTTTCCGATGATCGAATAGACGTACGATTTTCGTACGGCAGCCCCATCCTGCCCCGATGATTGCAAGATTAATTTAGCCGTAATTAACGAAAAGCACCTGGACGAAATGCAGTAATTGATTTGCCGTATTTTCATTAGCGCAGTGTACATCGTACGACTTTTACCGGACGGAAACGCCAGCAACCTTACAAAAATCGTACGATCTAGCAAAGTTTTCAAACATGCTTGACCGTCAAGTCGTACGATTGTACAGTAATGTCGGTCGGACACTGCAATGCACACATGCAATTATCGGACGAAAAGTCGATCGCATACGAAAACCGTCCGATAATCGTAAGGTGTATGGGCACCTTAACAGGACTACTGAATACTGTGGTAAAAGGAATCTGTTGTAGGATTTGTGTGTCTATTACAATCAGGAGCTGAAATGTTATGACCTTGAAGACAAGCAATGAATCGCCAGATTAAGTCACCTTTAGGAAGATCCTTGGACAGGGCTTTAATGTAGATGGCAGTCTGCTCTCGTGTGGTGTACGTGCTTAAATGGGCACCAATACTCTCCACTTCCTGCTCCAGAGTTGCCTGCGGACGCTTCTTGGTACCCTAGGGGCAACAAAATAAAAAGTGCAATAGAAAAAAAGTCACATATATGAAGCAATTTTCAATGTGCTGCATGAGAATATACAAAACCATCTACAGATCTACCCTGAGCTACTTTGTCTCAAAATATCACCCAACCCGTCCTCTTCGCTCCCCTCAAGACCTTCTGCTCTCTAGCACCCTGGCCATTTCCTCCCATGCTCCCCTCCATGACTTCTACGGAGCACTACCAATCCTCTGGAACCCCCTACCCTAACATCTCCAACAATCTTCTTTATGGGGTAGGCAACCTCAGCTGTGGTGAAACTACAAATCCCATAAGGCGCTGCAAGACTGATAGCCACAGGCTAGGCCTTAGACACAACAGCACGATGAGATTTTATCTCTGTCTCCTTCTTTAGGGCCTGTTCACATGATTTTCAGGTCCAGATCTGTAGACGCCGCGCTATGTGTTTTGCCGCGTTTTTGATGTGTTCCAGTAAATGTAAATATATATATGGACTGCGCACGTGAGAACTGTTGCCCATAAAACACATTGCGGTGCATTTTTAGTGCAGGAGCATACGGATCAGGTCAGCACAGAAAACGGACGTAGTGTGAACAGGCCCTTAAGCCCTGAGCAAACTGTTGGGCTTATATAAATCCTGTATTATTAAAATAAGCCGCGCACAGTGTAAGCAGCTCATGTGCTGCTCTATGTAAGTGGCCATTTCCAACCTTCAAAAAAATGCTAACTGGCTGTCTCTGGTACAAGTTATGGTGAAGGCAACAAAATGCCGATACCTGGAGTACAGTTTTACTTTATGGTTTAAAAACTTGGATCTACAAATGATAGAAGCACATAGTAAACACAACATACATGCCCAATTCTTACACGCTTTTATGCCATGTCGTGTTCCGGTTGTTTAGATTGTCTCACCTTGAATGCCAGATGTTCCAAAAGATATGCAACACCGTTATTTTTAGCAGTTTCATAGCGGCTGCCGGCTCCGATCCACACACCAACCTGAAAGATGAAGCCGTATTAAGTAAATAGACTTCGCTGTATAACAAATAAAATTCAGCAGATGTTACCGAGCAACAAAATATTAGTAAAGTCTCAGATCAAACTGCTCGATTTATGAGAGGTCTATTATTTGTCCAGCATCAATGTTGTTTTTTTTCCCTTTAGGCTTTTTGTTACCAGTGCCATGCACATCTCAGAACCTCTGCCAGAGGAAACTTCCAGTGTATGTGTGTGCTGTGTGCAGATATGCTTTGCTGCTCTTTTCCACGTATTACTAAAGCTGGATGTATCAGCTCATCTTCCTTTCGGGAGTGCACACAGAATGGCAACAACTCTATGCAGAACAGTGGTACCTCGGTTCACGGACTTAATTCGTTCTACGATTCTGGTCGTGAACCGAATCAAACTGTGATCAGACCGTGATCAGACCGTGATCTCGACTAGAGAAAGCCAGGACCACGTGTCAGAGCCGGGAAGATGGGTTCCGGGCTGCGGTTATGTGTCGTCACCCGATGCGGAGTTCGCGAAATTTAGCAGAGCTTCCTGTTCGCGAACTGAAGCATTCGTGAACCGAGGTACCACTGTATATGCAACAAGAACATTGTCACTATTTAAAAAAAAGAAAAAAGGAGTCAATATTTTTAATAAATACTTCAGAGGCAATGGTACGTAAAGGAAAAATGGGCGAAGGAATTTCTTTAAGGAAAGAGCATTACTAGGGATGCGCCGATAACAATATTAGTATTGGTGCCAAGTACTCGTACTCGCCCAAATGCTCCCATAATAGTTTCGATATTGGTGCCGATACCGAGTATTTGGCCGAGTACTTGTACTCGCCCAAATGCTCCGATGCCTAGCACGAGTACTTCCTGTATCAGGAAGCCGGGCAGCGCGTCATTACACGCTGCCCGACTTCCTGATTGGTCGGGAAGCTGGCTTCATGCTCCCTCGTCATCTCATGACGAGGGAGCATGGAGCCGGCCTCACGGCCAATCGGAAAGCAGGGCGTCGCGTCATTACACGGCGCCCGGGTTCCTGATTGGCTGGCCAGACGGCTCCGGTTGGGTCCTGGAGGAGGGCCGCATTCTGGCTGGAGAGGCCCTGGGGGTGACAGGCTGGACGTAAGAGGGGACTTTCTTGTTGATCGGGAAGTCGGATGGCGAGTCTTTACACGCTGCCCGGCTTTCTCGCTAATCAGAAAGCCAGGTGGCATTACACGCCACCTGGCTTCCTGAATGGGACTTCCGTTACTCGGTAATTCGTATCGGCGAGTAACGGGGAAAAAAATTATCGGTACCAAAATACCGGTGTCGGTGCATCCCTAGTTATGACCCACCTCCCTGATTGGCTATTGAGCTGGCTTCACGTGTTGCTAAGCAGCTTAGCTTCTTAACCAATCAGGTAGCCGGGCAGCATGTAATGACCTGCCTCCCAGCTTGATTGGTCAGGAAGCCAGGCTGCCAAGCAAAAACTGAAGCTGGCTTCCTAGCCAATCAAGAAGCCGGATGGCAGCTCATGACTCGCCGCCCAGCTTCCTGATTGGACAGGAAGCCAGGCAGCCTAGGAAAGTGAAGCCAGTGTTCTTTCGCTAGAACACTGGCTTCACAGGCAATCAGGAAGCCTGGCGATGGGTCATGATCCGCCGGCCAACTTCCTGATCATCGGGGCACAATGCACCGGTACTCAGTATCAGCAGATACTGAGAAAAATTAAAATATTGGTACCCGCACTCGATATCGAAAAACCAGTATCGCTGCATCCCTAGGTATTACATATTCATTTTCTGACAGAGGGTTTTGATATCATTTAAATGCATCAGTAAATATCAAGGCAGAAACTTAATATCAGAACACTAAAGAGTAGTGAAGTGAATGAAAACGAGAAGCATAAATTTGCAAAGCCCCCAAATGTTACTTAATCATACGGAAGAGACAAGCCCAGCCTCCTATAGAACTGATGGGTGCCCTTTGCTACTTACTGTGCAGGTTGGCTGGCCGGACTCTTCAGAGGCGATGCGCAGTCCATTGTCCAGGGTGGTGATCTGAGTATCGGGAACGTTACTTAAAGCCTGGGCATAGGACACAGCACTACGGCTGCCCTTCAGACCCAACGCGGAGGGCTGTAGAAAATACAGAACAAACATTTAAAAGACATAAATACAAAAGAAAACAATCCCCCCACCCCCGGGCACTACACTCTCCAAGAATGCAGCTCGCAGAACTGAACAGGCTCATGTAGGGTCAGGCGTGATTTAAATAAGCAAGCTTAGGTAAAACTATAGGAACAACATTATCCTCGTACAGGATGGAGTAGGAAAGGGTCAGGGGTGCTTTTTTTCCCCCCTCTCTGTCCTTGTTGGGGAGATTTCAACTTTTTTTCTGCCCTGGTGATCATATGCAAGTGAGGGACTAGTTAAGAATTCCACTTAAAAATCTTCCCCACTGTCAAATTCACTTTGGGTGAAGGAAAAAGCAGGCTGACCTATGCGAACACCAACAGATGAGGAGGCAGCACTGGCCCAGCCCAACAGGCAAGGAGCAACTGCTGGCCTCTGCACGCCCCAAAAGCCAAACAGTTACTGCTGGCCGTGTGCACCCCAAAAGCCAAAATGTTACTGATGGCCCCACTAAACTTACTGTTCAAAACCAGCGCGAATGACCTTACCACAGACCTTGTGCACCCCCACAGAGGGGCTACTCTACATCCTGGGGCAGGCCAACACCTGAGGAGGTCCCAGCATGCTCCTACACACAAGAAACTGCCACCAGCACACCGTACACTTTCTAATACACCTTCAAATGGTTTCAGGGATTTAGCATTTTACAGGATTCATAACCCCCAACATTGTGTGCAGCACTTCAAAATATACAGAGAGACAGTACAACAACAATACGAGCACTCCATTCAGGTCCCTGCAAGGCAGCGCACCGTGAACTACTGTGGCATCCACTGTGCTACGAGAAAATGCAGCACGTATGCTTTTTATTGCAGTGCACCGCCCATCACAACCCGTATTGTGGTGTGAATGACACACAAAACAATTGTGTTTTGTGTGTCCTTAGGATGACCTGCGTTAACCCAGCGTGGTACATGCCTTGGTGCTTGATTTTATACACCTGTGGCCATGGAGGTGATTGGAACACCTGAATCCAATGATTTGGAGGGCTGTCCCAATACTTTTGGCAATATAAAGTGTGTGTGTGTGTGTGAAGGAATG